ACGTAAGTAAAACGTGCGCATGCCACGAATCACGTGAAAGAATTATGCACTCTGTAGGCTACAACAAAGCATGACAGACGAACTTCAAAAGCGAGAAATACAAATATTTGTTACTCTTAATTTTGGCTTTATTTACTCTTGAAACAGAACACTTTCGGGGACCCTGCTGAAGTGCACCAAGTACATAATGTCTCAGAATGTTAGACAGGAAAGCTTTCATAACACGTATTTTTTGTGATATTTTTGATATACATGAATTATATTTACCAGACATGATTTATTTGGCTCAAGTTTGTTTTTAACTTATACTTTTAAGTTTGTTCTCTCGTTACTTCTTTGTTCTTTTTTTTACGATATTTGTTAAATCATTATTTCATTTCTGCTTCTGTTAAATTGTTGACTTCTTCTTTTATTAACCCATTTCATTCTTCTTACTATTTATTCTTTCATTATTACTTACTGTCTTCTTTCTTTCATTAGTACTTACTTGGTGTTTTTTTTTTAATGTATTGATTTTCACTTTCATGCGTATTCTTCGTCACTGGTTTCACTCTATAAAATCACTTTCCTAAAAATAACCTTGTCTCACGTTTCGTTTTTTTTTGTTGATATAATTTCTAAAAGTCTTGTTGAATTTTCTTGTTCTGTTTAGTTACGGTTCTTTCTTTTTTTCAGTCCTCCTTCACTTTTTTTTTAAAATCTCGATATTTTTTTAATTGAATCCTCTGTACCGTAGAGGCTGATGTCAAGCATCATTGCTCCAGCGTTTCTGGCTGTTCGTTTATAGAAGGTGATGTCAAATGTGATCCAGAAACACATTCTTGTATATGTGGAGAAGGAACTATTGAAGTAGCGACTATCGAGAAAACAGTGTGCGCAAAGAGTAAGTTATCATCTGTCTCTCACTCTCATTCACTCACTTTATCTACCTATCTCTCACGCTATCTGTCTGTCTGTTCGCCTGTCTGTCTCTCACTCTCAATCACTCACTTTATCTATCTATCTACCTATCTCTCACGCTATATATCTGTCTGTTCGCCTGTCTGTCTCTCACTCTCAATCACTCACTTTATCTATCTATCTACCTATCTCTCACGCTATATATCTGTCTGTCTGTTCGCCTGTCTGTCTCTCACTCTCAATCACTCACTTTATCTATCTATCTACCTATCTCTCACGCTATCTATCTGTCTGTCTGTTCGCCTGTCTGTCTCTCACTCTCAATCACTCACTTTATCTATCTATCTACCTATCTCTCACGCTATCTATCTGTCTGTTCGCCTGTCTGTCTCTCACTCTCAATCACTCACTTTATCTATCTATCTACCTATCTCTCACGCTATATATCTATCTGTCTGTCCGCTTGTCTGTCTCTCACTCTTTCAATCTATTTATCTGTCTGACCGTCTATCTCTTTCTCACTCTATCTATTTATCTGTCCGTCTGTCTATCTATCTGTCTATTTCTATAAATCTATCTGTCCGTCTGTCTATCTGTTTATCTCTCTGTTTTTCTACATATATATCTGTTTATCTCTCTGTATATTTTCTGTCCGCCTGTCTATCTCTCTCTCTCTCATTCTATCTATGTATATATCTTTCTGTATAGCTATCTGTCTATCTATCTGTTTCCCTAACTCTTTTGTTGTCTCTATCTGCATGCATGTTTGACCTTCTGCCTAGTTTGTATTATGACTTTTCTGCGTTTGTGATTATTTCTACCAGTCCAGTTTCATCTGTTAAAACTATTAATAATACCACCGAAGATTAAACGAACTTAGAAACTCGAGTAAATGCTTTACGATACCCGGAATTCATTTTTTTCTTTCTTGAAATATCCAGTTTCTAAGTGAATTACGAGAACAACCGCTAATAATGTTTTCCTCTGTGACTTAAGTCACGTCAGTAGGCCTACCGTGTGACCATCATGAGCAATGTATAGCATTCGACACTAACAGTAACTGTGTAGAGAAAACCGGAAGTTTGGATCGAGTCTGTCACTGTCGTCATGGTTACAAGAGTGAACAATCAACTATAGGCCAACCCAAGCATTGTGTGGAAGGTATGACAGTTCTTGATAAGTTGACACGTCACAAGCAGTAAACGAGGTAGGGATGGATATACAAAACCATACAAAAATCACTATACAAATAGCCAAATCTTTCCAAGAATAACTTTTATCTACAACTAAATGTTGAATTCCTGTCAGTTGCATGAATTCAGGTTTGAATAAAAACCATTTAAACTGAATAGTGCTATACAGTTTTACAATAAACTTGTAAGATTGACCCAGTACTTACTGGTTATTTATGTAGGAATTTTTGTATGGTTTTGTGTATTCATACCTACCTTGTTTCTGTACGTTTTGGCATTACCATAGCAACATCATACTTAATGTTTGCAAAATATTTTTTATTACTTGTTTCCCCTCTGTTTTTTTAAATAATTTCACTGAAGTAGATTGACTAGTGAACATTTGTTTAATTTTTTATAATTCAATGGTGATATATATTGTTAATATCATATCAGTTTTGTCAGTTTCTCTAATTTTGGATTACATTGGAGGCCAGTGAAGCTGGAATGGTTCCTTCAGGATGGCACAATTACCCCGGAGTGCTGGACCGACGTTAAGGGGATATTTACAGAACAAATGCCTTCCAACTTCACCTCAACTCACCACACGTGCATACAATTGACTCCACCACATCGTAGGGTCATTTCAATTAATAGAGAGGATATCATACAGATCCCAGGCCATGAAATATGATACCACGCATACACACACAACTGACAGGCTTGGCTCCACTGAAAATTTGAAGAAAAGTAGACCACTATATAATGTACTGTTTTGATAATTAAGAAATTGGTGTTTTTAAACTCAGACATCAATGATATGTGCACAGGTCTGTCAGTTGCATAAATACCTGATCTCCTTGATACCTTGAATAATAATTTATATTATCAGTTTCTTTCCTTATATTTACTGAAATTGTTTTGGAAGATATCATATTTGTGCAATGAAAAGTCACAAACATATAAGAACAAGTTGTTCTGTCATTTAGCGACTAGAAATGACATTATTATTTATCAAACATGGAAATGTTATATGCTTATAAACTGAACTCACTGCTAAGTATCAATTTTCCTTTTTATTATTTCCCCACAAAAATACGTGTAGTAGAGGAACAGAATAATATTATTGTTATACACGCCGTGAAACACTCGATAATGGCAATTAGATGCTCAAATAAGGCTATAACTCAACTTTAGCAGTTATTTATGAGCATAAATGAGTAATAGATTGAATGTGGCAGCCATTATTTTTCTTGGCCCATCCTTACATACTAAGCACTACTGCCCTTAGTGATAAAACTTTGTAATCAAGTAAACAACAACAATAAAAAAAAACGCGAAATAATTAAATTAAGAGAAAGAAGAACTAATTAATTATTTTAGAATTTCAGTGTTTAATATTGTTACGTATCTGCTCGTTTGTTAATTTCCAGTATAAATTCTTTCCGAGGAACTTCAGCGACACAAGTCCTTTCTTACTT